AATTATCACCCGGACAGTGATGGGGGAGTGGCATTTGGTCCCTTCAGGGAATGGCTGGTAAAGGGAGAGAAAGGATGCACTCTGGTCTATCTTGGGCTTTGGGCCCATGCACCTCTGGCTCCATGTTCCACTGGATTTGGCTTCACCCACTGCTCCTGTGCAATCTCCCAATAGATTAGCCCTGAGGGAGGGCAGCCTTCAAAACAAAAATGTTTGCCCATCTCTTGTTACCATACATTGGGCTCCTTTTCTACCCCTCCTTACTTGGTATCATAATTGTTATAAATTCTACCTCTATGATCCTATTATGAATGCCATGAGGTGCTGCTGAGCATGTCAGGTAGCTAGCATGGGAGTTGCCAGGAGGATGTTTGCCTGGAACATATCAGAGGAGGTGAGGAAGAGACTAGTCATAAAACAATGGGATAGCTCTGGTTGGAGTAAACATCTCTCTTTACCAGGCCCTGCAAGTTATCTAATGCAGGAATTTGCCCATTCACACATCCAGCTCAAACCTTGGAAGACTTCAAGGTGTCATGTATCCATTTCAAAGATTTGAACCATTCCACCACAGAAGCCTCTGGACTTTGCCCCAGGGCTCTATTTAAATCCCAAGCTTTCTTTGTTCATTGGCTTAGCTTGGTTTGTAGGCAGAAGTGCTTCTGGTTTTCACTCCACTAAACCTCTCTATCACTCACCAATCCCACTTGTGCCTCCGGGAACGATTGAGTTCCCATTCCCCTTTCCATGATCCAGCAACAAGAGGAGCAGCAGCCTTTAGCATCTCCATTAGAAGGCCTATTCTGTTCCACACTAAGCTCTTTCTTTCTCATTTCTTGTGTGAGTGCATGTGAGGAATGCTTGTTGGTTTTCCCCTTTTAATAAAAATCATTCATTGAGAATTGCCTCTCAGCTCTGTAAACTTAGAGATAAGCTCTCAGGCTGTGTAACTCGTTATTGAGCTGGTAATTCCCCTAAACTAAGCATATAGCATGGCTACACCCTACCCCCAGCCTGCCTTTTGATAGGCTGAAAAAGAGAAAAGGAAGAAACAAAGATCCTATCTGTCATATTGTAAAAGGGAAGAACTCCAAGCAAGGAAAAATGACCATAAACCCACACCATGATCGGAGGACACAGGGTAATGCCACCTTCTAGAAGTTAAAATGGCTCTGAGTCTGATTAGTGCCTGTGTAGGAACATATCCCCTATAGGCCATCTTAAGCAGTATTATGGAAGAAACATAAGAAAAGCCTATCTCCATAGTATACACATAGTATAGTAAACTTCCTTAATCAGTGTGATGTTTGATTTTCTTCTTTGGGGTGAAGGAAACTGACAACCACATGTATCAGTCAATCAACCAAACAAATCCGAGTTTTTTTCTGGTTGTTCTGACTCTATGGAGAGTCTTGCATTGGAGAATAAGCTCATTTCTAATTCCCCCCCCCCCCCCGAGAAATAAACCGGCTACAAGAGGTTTCCCCTTTTCAAATGTGATTCATGTACCTGACATCATCTATTGAATGTTAGTATTACTGAAATGCTGCAGTGTGAATAGTAATTATGGCAACTAATGATGGTTTTTTTAAATATGTGAAAGCTCTTGGCTTTTGGTGTTGTGCTTCATAACCAGCACAAATATTGCCTCTGTAACCTAGTCATGCAGATCCTGATTTTTTCTTAACACAGTGCTAGCTGGAACTCACTTGAGCAGTATATCAAATTGGATCTGAAGTCAAAGTCATGGTAAAGTATGTACTTAGGGTTTCCATCTGACTGGTTTTAAACTGGTTTCATTCTCACCAGACTTTCTCTTTGCTGGTCCTCAGTGTTACGAAAGGCAATGTATGTTCTATGGCGCTTTAGACAGTAATTAGTTGCACTGGAGAAGTGCTTTGTTCTTCTTGTTATAATGGGGAATAAGTATCCCTAAAGCAAGTGAGAAGGAGAAAATAATTTTTAAAAATTGCCAATACTGTAATGCCCTTATTTATTTATCAAGTGTGTATCTTGCTTTTCTATCACAAATGGTGTTCAAGGTGGCTAAAAACCCAAAATCTTACAATCTTACAATAAACACAAAGTACAAAGTAAAACCTCATGATAGGGTCGCCATAAGTCAAAAATGACTTGAAGGCACACAACACACACACAAGACATAGACAACACCCTATACATTAACAAATAAATTTAAAAGTTTGGTCTTGAGTCTATATATTTTGCCATGCGTTTCAGCAGCAAGTCAACAAAGCAATTTGCTATTGTAATAGCAATATTAGAAACCCAGAATTTAAGATCCATCTCCAGAGTTACAAATATACAAGCAAAGGTTATCCCAAAGCCCTCTGGAAGCCCCACGAACACAGGAGATTGGTAATGGAAGAAGAGAATTGCAGTGGCCAAGTGTTAAAAATGAAATTACTTGAAAGCAACCATTTGTTCTCTTTTATTTATTTTTTTATTTATTTTCTATCCCACCTTTCTCCACGAAGGGACCCAAGGCGGCTCTTTGTCTGTTTACTTCAAAATGGCAGACATTTAAGCAGGAGGTACACTTAATTACAAAGGCAAAGCAATTAGTTACATAGGAGAAATGGTTAATTAAGAATGAAATATCTTGAGTCTGGCTCAGAGAGGTCTTCCTGAGCAGTCTATGATGCAAGGAGTCAGGCCACAGCCAACTGCCACAAACTGCCTCCAGTTGCTCGCTGGAGACTTCTTGTGCCTTACTGCACAGCTGTCAGTGATTAGAGGAGGTAGTGTGGTCTAGTAGTTTGAGTGTTGAACTAGGACTGTGGAAACCTGGGTTCAAATCTCCATTTGACCATGGAGATTCATTGGGTGACTTTGGGCAGATCACATTCTCTCAGTACCGGAGGAAGGTAATGGCAAATCTTTTCTGAAGAAATCTTGCCAAGAAAACCAACCCCATGAGAGGGTTGCTTTAAGTCAGACATAACTTGAAGGCACATATCAACAACATTGACCATGCTGTCATCATGCAATTTACATGATCTATTTCTCAGTAGCTGCTTCCAGGCTCTGGAACTCCCTTTTGCTGTCTTTCCTATCAGCAGATAAAGCCTTTTCTGTAATTCTGATAGGCTTTTGAGAACTGAATGTGTTTTTTAAGGGCTTTAAATAGAGTTTTTGTTGTCATTATGTGCTTTCAAGTCCTTTCCTACTTACAGTGACCCTAAGGCGAACCTATCATAGGATTTTCTTTGCAAGATTTGTCCTAAGGAGGTTTGCCATTGCCATCCTCTGAGGCTGAGAGAATGTGACTTGCCCAGGGTCACCCAGTGGGTTTCTATGGTCAAGGAAGGATTCGGACCCTGATTTCCAGAATTACAGTCCAACACTCAAAACCACTATACCATGTGAACTGTGCCATTTTTATCACAGTTTTTAAACATCTCTTAATAATTTTAATTGTTTCTTCTAGATTGCTTCTTTAATGTTACTGAAATCCATGCTTTCTTAGAGATGCTCCAAATGGAGGACACTTTGAAATTCCTCATGGAACGTAAATCCATGTTTCTCAGTCCTGTTCAAAATGGAGGACACTGAAATTCCTCAGGGAACATAAATCCTTGCTTCTTAGTGATGCTCAAAATGGAGGACACTCTGAAATTCCTCATGGAATGTAAATCCATGCTTCTTAGTGATGCTCAAAATGGAGGACAGCCTCAAAGTCCTCAGGGAACAAAAATCCATGCTTTTCAGTCCATTATGAACAGGACAAAGTGGATTAGCAGACTGCCAGAAATAGTGCACATTAAATTGAGGCAGTGCCCTGGCTCAGTGCTAGGGAGTCATGGGAACTGTAATTTATTGTGGCACCAGAGCTCTCTGACAGAGAAGGCTCAATGTCTCAGAAAAAAATATAATTCCCATGATTCCCTAGCGCTGAGCCAGGGCAGTGCCTCAATTTAATGTGCACTATTTCTGGCAGTCTGCAAAGGCCCTAAGAAGCATGGATTAATGTTCCGTGAGGAATTTTGGAGGACACGCTGCTGAATTTCCTCCTGGGCAGAAGGCTGAAATGGAGGGCAGGCCCTGGAAAAAGGAGGGTCACCCTGTGTCCACTGGACCCCCTCTCCCTAATCCCAACCCCCCACCCAGGAACCAGAGGTGCTGGTCACACTCTCTCAGCCACCCCTGTGTAGATCTGGGGCTTAATTCGGAATTCGGGGGCTCAGCCCCTACTTCGTCTAAGGCAGGGGTAGGCAACCTTTCCCCTTTAAGGGCCGAGAGACTTCAGCTCCCAGAAGCCTCAGCCATGTTGGCCAATAGTCCCATGCTGGCCAATAGCTCCTGGGATTCTGGGAGCTGAAGTCCCTCGGCCCTTAAAGGGGAAAGGTTGCCTACCCCTGCCCTACTTCGTCTAAGCCTAAGGCCAGCAGAGGATGAGGCCTACTCCCTCAAGAAGCCTCCAGAGAGGATCTACTGAGGGAATCGGGCCTGAGGGAAGACGGTGGGGCCTCCTTTTAGGCCTGAGGCGAGGCGGTGGCCCTGAGGGAGGGGAGGAAGGAAGGAGGGCGGGCCCGGTCCTCCTCCTCCTCCCCTTCCCCTTCCTCCTCCTCGTCCTCTCGCGGTTCGTGGCGCCGGCCGAGGCGGGCCTTTGCGTTGCCGGCCGGCTAGAGCGGTGGCTGCGATGGCGGCGGCCATGGCGCAGCAGCATCAGCATCGAGGGTCAGGGAGGCCGCGGTCGGAGACGGAGTTAGAAGGCCTCAAGGCGGCGGAGGAGGAAGAGGAGGCCTTGGAGCGGCGGAAGCGGATTATCGCAGGTGGGGGAAGGTGAAGCTGAAGCTGGCAACGGGGGTTGCGTGGCAAGGAAGGAAGGAAGGAAGGAAGGAAGCAGAGCGGGGCTGGGCATCCCCGTACCTGCGTATCGGGATCCCACTTTGGGAGCCCTGGGCTGCATCCGCGCTGCACAAATAATCCGGTTTGACACCGGTTTAACAGCCTCCATGCTGTGGAGTTGTGGGAATTGAGGCAGCGTGGCGTAGTGGTTTGAGTGTTGGACTACGACTCTGGAGACCAGGGTTTGAATCCCCTACTCAGCCATTAAAAACAACCACCACCACCACCACCACCCACTGGGTGGCCTTGAGCAAGTCACACTCTCTCAGCCTCAGGGGAAGACAGTGGCAAAGCCCCTCTGAACAAATCTTGCCAAGAAAACCCTCATGATAGGTCCACCTTAGGGTCACCTTAAGCCAGAAATGACTTTTGAAGGCACACAACCACAAAGTTTGTTATTATATTATCTGTACTATTGTATTATATAATTATATTCTGTTATAATTGAAACAGATCATATAAATGACATGATTACAGCATAGTCAGTGTTGTTGTTGCTGCTGCTCAAGTGTTGTCTGACTTGTAACAACCCTCTCTCTCATGGGGTTTTCTAGGCAAAATTTGTTCAGGGAAGGCTTGCCATTGCCTTCCTCAGGCTGAGAGAGTGTGACTTGCCCAAGGTCATCCAATATTCCCACATTTCAGTGGAATGGAGCCATGGCAGTTAAAGTGGTGTGGAACTGGATTATTTCTGCAGTGTGGATGCAGCCCTGGATTCTGAAGAACAAATCTTCATTCTCCAATAGACCCTGATGGGTTGGTTGCTTGTCGTTTCTCAGATGGTCTTATGTCTAATGAGGAGGGAAATTGTTGAAATAAAGCATTGGCATTTATTTATTTTTCTCTCTTTGCTCACAATGTGAAGAGGAGGAAGAAGGGAAATGGGATTCCTAAAGAAATGAAAGTGCAAAGGCAAGTCTGATGCTGAACATAAAGAAAAATAAAATAATAATAATAATAATGACCAGAGAAGAAATATGCAAATTCAATCTAGACAATGAGGAAATTGAAATAGTTAAAGAATTCC